TGTATTAAATTCTCTCCCGTAACATCAAATCTTCGAATTCCATGCCAAAACTTAAAATTTCTGATCCAGCTGTCTGAAAAACTACAGTCTTCCTCTATATTCAAATCCTCTCTAATTTTTTTATCTTTTTCAATAATCATTCGTTCCGTTACTAGCTTCTCTTCGACAAGTTTTGCTGATTTATACAAGACGTTGTCCAGTTGTTCCAGTATAGGTTCTCTAAGAGTTTGCCTAGAAACAACTTTTTCAGATACATTGGGAAACAAAATGCATGAGTTAATCTTTTTGATTTTTAATGTCATAAATAGTTGATGACCCAATATTGAAATCATTAATCAAAACATTTCTATTTTCACCCTTTTCCAAGAGTTTGATGATTTCCAGCTTCTGATTAATAGAGTAACGCGTCCCTTTCTGTCCAGAGTTTTTATCACTTGGCATTTTAAAAAACGTATTAAACGAAAACTTACGAAACAGTGCAATGTATACCCAACCGTTTAACTATTTACTTACGTCAATTTATTCAATACACAATTAATTAAACAGAGGAATGTATAAAAAATGGTAAACTCTGCCTTACGCAACAATCAGCTCGAGCAAACCAGATCAAATTCGAACGATCTTAAAAAAGGTGTAAATTATCGGAAGTCTACTGTACTTCAATAAGGCACCACGTATTTTTAAATATTATCAGAAAAATGTCAATGATCTATAGAAATTATCTTGTTCTGTATAAACATGGTATCAAGCTGCAGCCTCGGCGGCAAGCAACCTTGACTGAATCAGATAAACTAGTATATTTAATATTCTAGAACACGATTTGAGTCCTCTAATAAGAAACCTATTATGTTGCAATACTCTCAGAAGTCATGCCATACATCCCTGAAACTGCCACGTTTTATATTTATATGGTATTGAGCATACATTTAGTATTCTAAAATGAGATGTAAGTACTCTAATAAAAAACGGTGTATATTGGAATACGGCCATATAACATTTCAAAAAACTCTTGAAACTATCATATTTCGTATCAATATCATGCATTTAGCAACCTAGTGCATGATGTAAGTACTCTAATAAGATACAGTGTATGTTGGAATACTGTCAGAAAAAATATCTATTCATTGATTGACAAAAATGAACTTTTAATTTGTCACATGCATTTTTTTGGCATTTTTGACTGCATTTAGACTCCCTAAGGTAGAAAACAAGTGTAGACAAATTTTGGCAATTTTTTGTGATAGCAATTTATATAAAAAAATACAGAGACTTCACATAAACTACAACTTGAAAACATGTATTTTTAAACAAAAAATTATGATTTTCTGGAGTACTTGGCTTGAGGCTGGTCGCTTGATAGCGTCCAACAAAAATCTCCCAACATACGAGGACTCCATTTGCCTTGGTATCGTTTTTCCATGGTGGAAATATCCTGATGGAACCTTTCTCCATGTTCGTCGCTAACGTCTCCTAAGTTCTCGGGAATGAAGTCGAGCCCAACAAGTGCACCTCGACAAGTCGAGGTGTCCAAGTATAAAAAGTGAATTTTGAGTGACATATTACAACCCAAAGCTTGAAAGTAGTTGTCCTATCAGATCTTTGTAGTTACTTGCTTTTTGGTTACCCATTTTCGAATATATTATATATATTTTCGAAGCTTTCTCACAAAATATCGAAATTAACATTATTTGACATATTTTATAAAGAGACAATACACTTAGAAACACAAGCAAGAAATTCAAATATAAAGAAAAGTAGTTACAATGTTTTTACCAAGTTAATACAGAATTAAAGTGGTTCGCAACTAAACAATATCGCGCAACACGAAATCTTTAAACGAACGCAATGACAGCCCAAATAGAGAAACATGGTTGAAGCTCTGGTTGTAAGTATTAAGAACCTATACGATTGGCGAATTAGAATAAGTATTCGTATTAGATGTGCATGGGACTCCACACCACAGACCATAGCTTAATACACTGTTTACAAATGCCATAGAAAGGGACTTTATACAGGTAACATTGATGAAATTTCTGGTTATTCTGATAACGAATCCCAAGTTACGTACTGCTTTTTTCACTATAAGGTCAATATGAAAGTGGAATCGCAGTTTGGAATCAAGAGTAATACCAAGATCCTTCACTCTGTCAGTGGACGCAATAGCTCTGCCGTTAAAACTGTAATAAAAGTTAACCGGATATCGTTTCCATGTAAACGTAATTTTTTGACATTTGTCGTAATTGAGATGAAGTTTGTTGACGAGACAGTAGTCATGCAAACGGTCAAGGTCTTCCTGAAGCCGCAAACAGTCGAGACTTAATGTTATATTTGTAAATATTTTATTATCATCTGCATACAGCAGGAATTTGGAAAACTTAAAGCAGGAAGCAATATCATTAATATAAATTAAAAATAATATTGGTCCAAGATGGCTGCCTTGAGGCACACCGGAAGAGATGGACTTATAACCGGATAGAAAGCTACCAACCTTGACTGCCTGACTTCTATCTGATAAATATGATATAATCCAGTGAACAATGCCATTTGGGATGTTAAAGGAAGAGAGTTTTTGAACAAGGTTGATCAATCTTGTCGAAAGCTTTAGAATAATCTGTGTAAATAGCATCGACTTGAGAATTTTCATTTAGGGCAGAATGAATAAAATTAACGTAGGATACCAAATTAGTCTCAGTCGATCGTCCGGGCAAGAAACCGTGTTGTTCATGAATAAAAGAGTGAGTAATCGACTGGCTAAAGTATTCCTGGACAATTTTCTCAAAAACCTTGGGAATAGCCGAGAGAATAGAAATCGGGCGGTAATTTGAAACCAACTGCTTGTCGCCGGATTTAAAAATTGGGACGACGAACAATTATCTTTGAACAATTCCCTAATCTAAGGTTCGACAAAAATTCCTTCTTTTATTTTAGCGTCACTAACTTTAGGAAACTTTTCTTTCAAGTACATAAAATCTGAGCCGTTGCGATCCATGGCTTTGACAAAATCTTTTATCAGGTGTAGTTGCGGAAGTTCTCTGGTGGGCTCGACAAGAGGAGGGTGTAAAACATTTTTATTCCCAGGAGTTTGGTCAGTCTTTCTTGCGGTAATGATTGATTTCGATCTCTGCTGTCCCACTCACATAGAAAGCAACAATACTTTGTAAAACCCAGCTGCATTCCGAGAAGTAATGCAATGACTTTGAAATCACCACATAGTTTAAATGAAAATTGATTATAAAGAATTTTTTCTAGTACCAATTTCATGTTTTCGTAAATTTTCTTTCATAGTGAAAGCATATGCTATTGAAATAGAGGGTAATCTATTTCCATTTTGCAAGAGTACAGCTTTCAAACTGGTTTTTGACGAGTCTATAACCAAGCGCCAATCTTGTGGTTGAAATTCAATTTCTAGCAAGTTTATGACCCAAGTAATATCATTGCAATACACTAAATTTTCTTCTTGTGAGTAGAATTTTTTTAGTTCTTCGTCACGGCTACGAAAAAGATCGGGATGAAGCAAATTCCATTCTTTCAATCTGGATCCTAATACTTCAGACTGCTTTTTTTGACAATTTTAAGTCACGAACCAGATTAGCTTGAGTTAGAAAATGAGGTTCCTTATCTTCAAGCACATAGGTTGCCTCATGAATTTCATCTTCAATTGCACTACATGAAGGTAAATCGATGACAACATTTTCTGCGTCATTTGTCTGATTTGGCATTGCAGGTACAGGTAAATCAGCACTATGATGAAGTGGTCGTGATGCAGAATGTACATTTGCATATTTCACAGTATGTGTTGATGCCATATTCATGCAATTTATATTAGTCAAGCAAAAGTAGCAATCAGATACGTGATCTACAGGCTCTGTCCAAATCACCAAAAGACATATATTGCGTTCCTTTTATCCAACCTGTAAGATTCTTTACGCATGTTGTACAGCATTTATGAGGTGCCCAATAGTTATCTTGATGAGCCACAGAGAAACCAAAATATACACGAGAACTGCTTCACCAGTTCAATGAAATTTCATACGCAGTAAAAACTATTGGGATGATTACTTCACTTCCTTTGCATGTTGAGAAACTAACAACGATTATCTTATGTATTCTAAACTCACAATTTGAAACTGTTTTAAGGGATAACTTGTGTCACCCACCAAATTTGTCTATTGTGAGTCTATACTTTATGCGAACACCAACAAGTCAAGAGTACCAAGTTCAATCTGAGGTGCATGGATACGGGGCTAGGGTTAGGCACAACTTTAGGCCGAAATGCTGCCGTTTGAATATGTCACAAAGGGGACCGGAATTCACATCCCAGCAGTTGTTCAATCGATTGTCACTTGACACCCGATGTTTCTCAAATGCAGCTCTGAAAAAACACCTTAAGGCTTTTTTGGTTTGCAATGCATCCTAGTGTTCAGGACTTTTTAAATGTAGAATGTGTTATTTAATTGTCAATGTTAAGGCACGGATAAGCGTAGAAAAAAGGTTAAGTGTGTAATGTTAATTATTTTCTTCCTTTTGTTTTTTGTAAATGACTGACGAGTAAGAGAATTGGTCATTCTTAGAAACACAATAAAGTTATTATTATTATGAAATAGGATTGAAAAGAAGTAAAATTATTATGTACATAACTTCATTTCAATATTAGTGTTATAACTTTGGAGAGAACCAAACTTTCTACGATTTATTCGCCATTATTTTAACCACATTATTTTAAATTTTTGCCAAACATTGAAATTAATTCAAAAAAAATTAGATCCTTTTCAATTTCAAGGTGGAATTTATTGTTGTTTTCTGGATCACATCCAGACGAGAAAGTCGCAATTCAAAATTTATTATTTTTAAAGTCGAGAAACGTTTTTATCTTTACAGCTATAAAACGTCTAAATTTAAATTACAATTCATATTTTCTTTAGAATTATAATATGATTTATTAGCGATCGTTACATTCTTTTAAATGTTTCAAAACTCATTGTAAACTTAAATAAAGCAGATTCTAGTTAAATTCAAGATTTATTTATTTTCATTAACTTAATTAACTTAAAAGTTCAAGGGGTGGTGTTAATAAAACGGGAAAGGTTTAAACCCCTCTGAAATCTTCCTGAAACCCACGTAAACTCTTCCGGTACGAACATTTCAGGATTATTTAAATCTCCAGTCAATATTTGCAATGAAACTTAAGAAATTAACTTTTATATTTACGTTTTTTCAGATTCCACAAAAAAGCTGCAAGATGTTCTGGTGGAATTTTGCGGAACAGGCCCACCGTATAAACACAATCCAGATGGGGTAAGTCGTGAAATATATCTGGGTGGGTTTCAAGTTGTACGATAATGACTTTTGCAAACTCGTCTTATTACCAAAGAGTTTTCTTCTTCTTCTCTTTTCCGTATCTCTCGGCAGCAGAGCGAAAACTCCCTGCAAACTATTCGTCGTTATAATTACGACGAATTTCGAATTCGTTTTTAACAACCCCCACCAACTAAGGTAATTACAAAAATCTGCTATAAGTCAATGTTTTGTGTTTAAGAGGAAAATTTATTCTTTAGCAACGCATTCCATTAATGGGCAACAATTTGGATAAGGTTTATCAAGATCACCAGGTCTTATTTTGCAATTTTTACCACCACTAATTGTAGCACATCTTAAAAAGAGATTGTAAACGTTGATTTTATTGTAATGAACGAAATTTACCCGCTTATTCTATAAGTTGGAGGTGTACAAAATAGTTCAGAACAAGGATAATCTAACGCTTTAATTTCTCCAGGGGCTAACTCAACTCCATTTACTTTACAACCAGTTCCTTTAAAACGAGCCAAAAAAAAAATCAAATAATCAAATTAATTAAAATCTTTACCGGAATAATCATCAGGATTTTTTCCAATACTCGTCCAACAAAAATTAACTTCAAATGAAACATAAACGATAATCAAAAATAAAAGAAATCTCATCCTTTTTTTAATCAACTTGAGAAATTCTTGATGTTTCTCAAAATCTTTTCTGTCAATGAACACAGAACAGTTTACATTCGCCAAGGTAACGAAAGTTTTATTTACAAAAAAAAAGCGTAACTCGAATAATTTTTATTTAACAGGTGTTAATCTCGGTCGTCCTGTAATTTACGAACATTTAAATAAACAAGTTGTCGCGTACGATTTAAATAAATCGAACGCGAAAAACGATTTATACAACATCGAAAAAAAGTTCTTTTACATTTTCTTAATCTAATAATCGCGAAATAACGCGTACCGAACCGGCCGTGGTAGTAAACTCAAAAATAACGTTAGCGCGGACTTCATCAAAGCAGAAAACGAGCAACATGTACCGCGTTGTTTTCGTTTCCTTTACTTTGGTGTGTATTTTTGTGCTTTATGAGTTTTGTGACGCTCAACCAAAAAAGTTTTTTTTTTCTTTCAAAAGTTGCTTTCGCAATTTCACTGAAAAAATAACAAACTGAAATCCTACAAAGCGAATTAGTTCTTTTTATACAATTTGCGTAATTAATAAATAATTAAATCGTATTTTTACGATTTTTTAACACCATCAAAAAATGATATTTGCTTTCATTAATAATAATAATAATAATA